ACTGTAAACTTGCAACTGCCTTGGCAAAATTTTGACTGAGACAGTGAGAGAGATCAAACTTAACCGACTTGATCTTACTTCTAACCTCCAACCTGTCCTTGTTCATTCCTGAGCATAGGCTGAAATAACTTTGGGAGAAACTTAGTTTATAGTTTTAAAAACAAAGACAATCATAGCCCTTTCCCAAAGCAGACCTCCTTCTTGCCTGGGGACTAGATTGCCTTTGTAGGACCAACATTAGCCACAAGATTAGAAATTATGGTTTAGGAGTCATGTGGCTGGAGGCTACAAGATTCTGGCCCTCCCTAAACTCCTCCTCGTATCGCTGCTTGAGATATTTTGCAGACCCTGCACTTGACGGATTCAGCTGGCACCACCCAGATCGGTAAACTGGCTCATCTAATCTTGTGGCCCCCACTTAGAAAGTGACTCAACTCAAGAAGACAGCTCTGACTCCCTGTGATTTCATCCCTGACTAATTCTGTACTGTGGTTCATTTTCCTCAAGATGGCCTTGGTCTAAGCCTTGGTTATGTCTCTCATATTTTATAATCAGCTCTTCAATATCCACAAAATAATTTGCTAAGAATTTTGATTATAATTGCATTGACCACAGATTAATTGGGGAAGAACAGACATATTATTTTTTGTTGTTGTTGTTTGATTCAAAGTCTCGCTCATTCACCCAGGCTGGGGTGCAAGTGGCATGATCTCAGCTCACTGTAACCTCCACCTCCTGGGTTCAAGCAATTCTCCTGCCTCAGCCTCCTGAGTAGCTGGGATTACAGGTGTGCACCACCAAGCCTGGCTAATTTAGTACAGATGGGGTTTTGCTGAAGGTGGTCTTGAACAAAATAGTGAAACAGATGTCATTAGACAAAAACCACCGTAAAAACTGCTGCAGACAAGCACTGATGGATGCTAAAGTAGGCCAACAGAACAGGAACAAGACATCTGGATAGTCTCAAAGTATTTCTCCACAAGATACTCACTTAAGGCCAGGAGTTCAAGACCAGCCTCAGCTGGTATGGTTGAGGCAGGAGAATCACTTGAACCCAGGAGGTGGAGGTTGCAGTGAGCCAAGATCAGGCCACTGTACCCCAGCCTGGGTGACAAGTTGAGGCACTCAAACAATTAAAAAAAAAAAAAAGACAACAATATGTCCGTTCTTCCACAATCAATCTAGTCAATGAAATCATAATCAAAATTCTTAGCAAATTCTTTAGGGTATCGAAGAGCTGATTATAATACACACACATACACACACACACACACACACACACACACACACACACGGTTTAAACCAAGGCAATCTTGAGGAAAATGAACCATAATACAGAATTTATACCAGATATTATAGCCAGGCATGGTGGCTCACCTGTAATCCCAGCACTTAGGGAGGCTGAAGCAGGCAGATCACCTGAGGTCAGGAGTTCAAGACCAGCCTGCCCAACATGGTGAGATCCCATATAAAAATTAGCTGGGTGTGGTCGTGTGTGCCTGTAATTCCAGCTATTCAGGAGGCTGAGTCAGGAGAATCACTTGAACCGGGGAAGCAGAGGTTGCAATGAGCTGAGACCACACGACTGAACTCCAGCCTAGGTGACTGAGACTCCATTGCCCCCCCAAAAAAAATAAATAACAAATATACATATATATATTACTATAGAAGTTAACACAGGATGGTGTTAGCACAAGGAAATATAGCTCAATAGAATACTTAAAACATTTAGAAACAAACCTATACATAAACAGTTGTGTTATTTATGACAAAGGTGACATAGTACAGTGGGGAAAAATAATTTTTTTCAATAAATGATGCTGGTTCAACGAGATGTTTGTTTGCAACCAAACTGAATATTGAACCCCGCCCCCAACCAAACACAATGATCTTTTTAGATGATAGGTCTACATGAGAACAACAAACCAATAAAGCTTTGTGGTAGAAAAAGTTTTCTTAAACAGGATTTTTTTAAAAGGACTAACCATTAAAGAAAAAAAAAAAACAAATTGAACTACGTAAAAATGTAAATTCAATTATAATTAGTGTAATCCAAAGGCATTAAGAGAGGAGAAAAGCAACACAAAGCTGGGTGCTCTGGCTCACATCTGTAATCCCAGCACTCTGGGCGGCCAGGGCAGGCAGATAACTTGAGGTCAGGAGTTTAAAATCAGCCTGGCCAACATGCAGAAGAAACCCCATCTCTACTAAAAATACAAAAATTAGCTGGGCGAGCTGGGACATGCCTACATTCAGAGCTACTTGGGAGGCTAAAGCAGGAGAACTGCTTTAACCCAGGAGGCAGAGGTTGCAGTGAGCCAATATTGTCCAAGCATTCCAGCCTCGGTGACAGAGCAAGACTCCATCCCAAGGGGAAAAAAAAGGCAATCTAAGAATAAGGAAAAGATATCAGCAATTAAGTACATGTATGTGTATACACACACACACACATACACATGAAAAAAAATTATATTCAGAATACATAAAGAACTTCTACAAATGATAAGAAAAAGGAACACAACACAATTTTAAAAAAATTGATGAAACATTTCAACTGACACTTAACAAAAAGATATTCATATGGCCAATAAATATGTCATACGTAAAGAGGTTAACTTCATTGGTCCTTAGGGATACGTAAATTAAGACCTAATATACCCACCGGAACGAAATTCAAATTGCTGAAGACATGAAGCCTGCCTGGTTGAAGAATAAATTGTTCACCCACTCTGAAAAACTTTTAGCGCTACATACTGACATTGAACACAACCCTGGAATTTTACTCCCAGATACACAGTCCAAGAAAGATGTACACATGTTCACCAAAAGATATATACAAGAAATTTTACAACAGCAATATTTTTAATAGGCAAAAACTGGAAACCCAAAAGTCCAATACCAGAATGGATTTGTGTCAATAGACTCCAAGACTATCTCTAAGTTCAGCAATTTGCTAAGAGGATTCAAGGACTGTGAAACTGTCATATTTATAGTTTATTACAGAAAAAGGACACAAAGCAAAATCAGCAAAGGGAAAAGGGACATCAGGCAAAGTCTGGAAGAAGCCAGATGCATGCTTCTACGAGTCCTCTCCCAGTGGAGTCACACATAAAGCCTTTAATTCCTCCGGCAATAAACTAGAACAATGAGCCGGGCGTGGTGGCTCAAGCCTGTACTCCCAGCACTTTGGGAGGCCAAGGAGGGTGGATCACGAGGTCAAGAGATCGAGGCCATCATGGTCAACATGGTGAAACCCCGTCTCTATTAAAAATAGAAAAAAATTAGCTGGGCATGGTGGTGCGTGCCTGTAATCCCAGCTACTCAGGAGGCTGAGGCAGGAGAATTGCCTAAACCCAGGAGGCGGAGGTTGCAGTGAGCCGGGATCGCGCCGTTGCACTCCAGCCTGGGTAACGAGCGAAACTCTGTCTCAAAAAAAAAAAAAAAAAAAAAAAAAAAAAAACAACTAGAGCAATGGTCAGCCATGGTTGCTCAACCCTATAATCCCAGCACTTTGAGAGTCTGAAGCGGGCGAATCACATGAGGCCAGGAGTTTGAGGCTAGTCTGGCCAACACGGCAAGACCCCATCTCTACTAAAAATACCAAAACTAACCAGGAATGGTGGTGCCCTATTCAAGAAGCTGAGGCAGGAGAATCACTTGAACCCAAGAGGCAGAGGCTGCCCAGATAGCACAACTCCACTGCAGCCTGGGCAAGAGCCAGGCTCTGACTTGGAAATGAAAAAAAAAAGAAAGAAAGAAAAGAAAAAGAGAAACTGTAACAACATCATGCAAAGTGTTGTCCACTATGGAAGTTCACAAAAGCCTAGAGGTACAGGGTTTTTAGTGGCCAGTGATCCTAAAGGGCGCTAAGGAATGACCAGTTACCAGAGCTCGAGTTCATGAGAAGGAAAGGAGGTGTTCACCATAAATAATGTTTGCACAAACTAGAACAGCGAAGTTCAAATATTCAATCACACAAAATGCAGAATGTTCCAAGAGCTCAACTGTGGCCTGTCGAGGACCAGTCACAGAAAACAGTCCGCCCAGAAAAATGAAAGATTTGAGCAACTCGGCCCTGCTGAGTTTATCTTTTCCTGCTCAAGATAAAAGAAAATCATAGGTGGTTATGTAACAACCACTATACAACAAAGAAATGTTGCTACATACAACCTGGATTAATCTTCTAAACCAACAAAGCCAAAAAAGCCAGACAACAAAACGTATACATTGTATGATTCCATTTACATACGTAATATTAAACACACACACACAAGGGCCAAACTGTCATATTAGAATTGTGACAAGGACAAAAAGTACTTAGGATTGCTTCTGGGAGGGTGATATAGTGCTGGATATATAAGCCTATTTACTGTACAAAAATTCATCAAGCTGTGTATTTATAATTTATACACCTTTCTGTACACATTATACATAAATTAAAAGCTTACACAAAAAGGTCTCTGGTTCCTATTTTATTTTAGCCATGAGGAAACTTCAGGAAAATATATCATTCTATAGAATCATATCTTCCTCAGATCAAACTCCTAACACAACTCAAAATCCTGTAATTTTTTACTGCAAGCGTAGGAGAACAGCTTCCCTGTTTTCCATTTTTTAGAAGAGTCAGGGAAATATAGAAATGGAAAAGTTCAAAAAGTATTGAGATATCCACTAATCCAGTGGTTTTTCTGACTATATTCCTCAAAAATGTTTTAGGGACCCTATAATGATTTGAATTTCTTTTCTTTTCTTTTTCTTTTTGAGATGAAGTCTTGCCATGTTGGCCAGGCTGGTCACAGACTCCTGGCCTCAAGTGGTCTGCCCTTCTCAGCCTCAAAGTGCTAGGATTACAGGTGTGAGCCACTGCACCTGGCCAAATATTTACTATTTGTTCCCTTATAAAACAGCAGGTTGCTCCCTGCTGTACATGATGATTCATTTTTTCTGTTGCTGCTTTAGAGATTTCCCTTTCTTTTCTTCCCCACTCCACCTTTTTTTTCCACCACCACATCAAATTTATTATTCCAGTAGTACTAGTACAGGCTGGAGGTGCTCACGGTGATGCCGCGCAGGACTTCCTGCCTGCTAGAAATGATCTATCAGCTTGTTCCTTTTCCCTTTCTTGGGCAAGAGCCACAACGGGCAAATTACCCAAATAAACCTCTTAATGCATTTGTTAAATTTGTCTGGACATCTGACTTTCCCTCTGAAGAAATGGAAAGTGTTGGGTGTCCCATCCCACCTCCCCCTCCCCCACAGGCCCAGTAAGTCCCTGCAAAGAGGGCATGTCTGCTGCCTCTGGACTCTGGAAATAAATATCGAAAGAAATGGCATCAAGTGTTAAGGTTGAGCGATGGCACGCAGCGGGCCCCAGAAACCTCTCAGGGGAGCGTTGCTGTGTCGGGACAGTCTCCAGGTGTCGTCTGAGAAAGTAAGGACGTGGTGCTGTGGGCGCCGTGAGTCTCTGGGGCGACAGACACTGCAGGAGGTGCCACCTACAATTTGTCCAGGAAGTTGTCCAGGGCCGGGATGCCTTCATTCAGGCCCTTGCGCTTTCGGGTCTCTGCCACCACCTGGCTGGGGTGGCTGGTGTTGTCGAAGGGGTCTCCGGGCAGGATTTGCCAGTGGTCGAACACGCACTGGGGGAAGGCCTGACCGCCGGTATTAGACCTCAGGTCGACAGTGAAGCCGAAGGACTCAATGACGGGCAGGTATGCCTTGACGACAAACATGGAGGTACCGGCCACCTGAGACTCCTCGAACACATGGCCCCGCTTCCTGTTCAACACCCCATAGATGCCACCAACCACTTGCTCTGGGCACTGGATCTCCACCAAGTAGATGGGCTCCATGAGGCGCGGCTGGGCGTTCAGCACATTGGCGCAGAGGCAGCGCTGCGCCATAGGGATGATCTGACCACCCCCGCGGTGGATGGCGTCGGCATGCAGAGTCAAGTCGTGGATGTCGAAGCACAAGCCCCGCGTGTTCTCCTCACAAAGCGCTCCCTCCTTGGTGGCCCACTGGAAGCCGGCCACCACGCTGTCCTTGATCTCGTTGAGGTACTGCACGCCCTTGGTGATGTCATTGAGGATGTTGGGGCTGGTGCCGTCGGGCCCAAAGCACCAGATCTTGCAGGCCTCGGCCACATCCCACTTGAACCTCGCTGCTTGAGCTCCTGGCGAGCAGACACCTCACCTTTGTCGATGTCCTCGGCCAGGTCATCCAGGAAGGGCCACGCCTTCATGTACAGCCGGTTGTGCTTGTTGGGGAACTTGGAGAGGCAGGGCACGTTGGACTCTTCACTGACCATCTTAAGGTAAGAGATGATGGGGTCAGATTTCTTGATGGGGATGCAGGCATGGTCCTCTTCTAGGTCCTTGAGGCAGATCTCCAGGTGCAGCTCGCCGGCACCCGAAATGATGTGTTCAATGATGCACTGCACCATGGGGTCGGACTTGGCCAGCCTCTTCAGACCCTCCACCAGCTTGGGCAGGTTGGCCGGGTTCTTGGCCTCCACAGCCACCTTGACAACAGCGCTGATGCTGAACTTCATCACACGCATGTTGTGAGCATGCTCAAAGGTGGTGGGTAACTTCTTGCTAGCCAGGGTGCATATGGGTAGTACCCAACTTAGACGACTTCCAAAGATCTTAACAATCAGGACAACCTTGAACTTCACATGCAATAGTCAGTGCCTCAGACAGTGGAGTGAAAGCTACCAAATCCTTGAGAGAAGAGTGTCTCCCAGGACTCCTGAAGCCAGCCTTGGTGTCGGCCACAGGAAAAGACAATCAAGGAAAATCTCTGACCTCCAGTGAAACGCAGAAACTAAAGGACCCCTGTACTACATGTGATTTTGAGAAAAAAACAAGGCCAGGTGCGGTGGCTCATGCCTGTAATCCCAGCACTTTGGGAAGCCCAGACAGGAGGATCCCTTAAGCTCAGGAGTTCGAGACCAGCCTGGACAACACTGCCAAAATCCTGTCTCAATCAATCAGTCAATTAAAGAAAACTAGCCAGGAAAAAAAAAAGTTTGACTACAGTTTGACTATGTTACAAAATATATAGGTGTAAATGTCTTTCTTCTTTTACTTGGGGTTTGTTGAATTTGTTGCTTCTGTAGATTAATGCTTTTCATCAGATTTGGGAAGTTTTTGGCCATGATTTCTTCAGCCTGTTGCCTAGGCTGGAGTGCAGTGGTGTAATCTTGGCTTACCACAACCTCCGCCTCCTAGGTTCAAGGGATTCTCCCGCCTCAGCCTCCCAAGTAGCTGGGACTACAGGTATACACAACCATGCCCAGCTAATTTTTGTAACTTTAGTAGAGATGGGGTTTCACTTTGTTGGCCAGGCTGCTCTCGAACTCCTGACCTCATGATCCGCCCACCTCGGGCCTCCCAAAGTGCCGGGATTATAGGCGTGAGCCACCACACCCAGCCTTGAATTTATTTTTAAAAAATGTATTATAAACACTATATTAAAAAAAATTGTCAGACTTCTCACATTTAACATGACAGTATAAAATGGTTAACAAATTATCTTTCAATACAGCTAGATGAGCCCATTTCAGTGCTCTGAAATTCAACCAAAGGCATAAAACAAACTGAGAGCATTTACTTATTAAGTTACTGAAGTTCAGTTGGAAATGGCGGTTTTCAGTTTTGAGCTGCTACCAGTCTCTTGCCCCTCCCAATAACCTCAGCTCTGTGGGTAGGTTGGTTTAAACAGGCCACTGCTGCTGCTTGAGAGGACTCATTGGATTTGGAGTGCTGTCAGTTAACGAGTCAAACAGGGAAGGCTGGCGGCAGACTGGTGGGGTATAGACCAGGGATATAACAGGGAGTTGTAGAAGGTGAGACAGCCATAAGAAGCTTGAAAAGCTCTCCCCAAATCCCAGGTTGACTCTAGACTACACACATGCATATAAGAGATGGGAACATGCTCAAGTCACCCATAGATCCCTGGCCATCAGAAGCTGCACATACTCAGAGATTTCAAGAGAATCTGGAAGACAGCAAAAGCCAAGGAAGAACTGAAAATAGCCTGAAGTATGAATGCAGTTCCAGTTCACATACAGATCCATTAGTAGAGAGCAGAAAGTTTACTGCCTTGATCTGTTTAACTATAATCTCTTACCAATCTGGCTGGTCCCTGAATTATGGAGGTAGAGATCCCAAGGTAGCCAAGCTTAAAAATAAAAATAAAAACTGAAAAGAGGCATCAGCAGCTGCATATTATAGAGGATACTTCACAGATTTAGTTCAAGCAAGTTACTAAACAAGCAAAACAAAAACAACCTTCAAGGTAAGAAAAAAATCAAAATCCAGGGCCAGGTGCAGTGGCTCACACCTGTAATCCCAATGCTTTGGGAAGCTGAGGTGGGAGACTGCTTGAGGCCAGGAGTTCAAGACCAGCCTGGTCAACAGAGCAAGACCCCATCTCTAAAATAAAAACAGAAAAAATTAAAGCCTTAGCCAAGTGTGGTGGTATGCAACTGTAGCCTTAGCTACTCAGGAGATTGAGGTATGAGCCCAGAAGTTCAAGGTTGCAGTGAGCTATTACTGTGCCACTGTATTTCAGCCTAGGCAACAGGGCAAGACCCTGTCTCTTTAAAAAAATATCCAAAATTGCAAAAATGCATTATCTAAATATACCGCTTTTAACAAAAAATGATTGAGATATGCAAAGAAACAAGAACATATAACTCAATCAGGAAAAAAGGCAGTCAGAAGAGTCTCTGAGTGTTCCCAGATATTAATCATAGCAGACGAAAACTTCAAAGCAACCATTACGAATATGTTCAAAGAACTAAAGGAATCCATGTTTAAAGAATTAAAGGAGGCCAGGTGTGGTAGCTCTCACCTATAACCCCAACACTTCTGGAGACTGAGGCGGAAGGACTTCCTGAGCCCAGGAGTTCAAGACCAGCCTAGGCAACATGGTAAGACCCTTTCTCTTAAAAAAAAATTAAGTAAAAAAGAATTAAAGGAGAGTATGGACCAGGTACGGCGGCTCATGCCTGTAATTTCAGCACTTTGGGAGGCAGATCACTTGAAATCAGGAGTTTGAGACCAGCCTGGCCAACACGGTGAAACCCTATCTCTACTAAAAATACAAAAAATTAGTTGGGTATGGTGGCACACACCTATAGTCCTAGCTACTTGGGAGGCTGAGGCAGGAGAATCGCTTGAACCCAGGAAGTGGAGGCTGCAGTGAGCCAAGATCATGCCACTGCACTCCAGCCTTAGTGACAGAGAAAGACTACGTCTCCTTCACCAAAAAAAAGTATAATAATTTCTCAGTGAATAGGGAATTTCAAATAAAATATAAAAATTATAAAAAAGAAACATGGGAATTCTGCAATTAAAAATTCAGTAATCAAAATCTCAATCCACTAAAGGGAAACCACAGACAATTTAAGATGACAAGAATCAGTAACCTTGAACACAAATAAATATAAATTATTCAAACAGAAGAATATAAAACAACTGGCCAAAAAAAAAAAAAAAAAGAAAAATGGACAGCTCCTCAGAGATCTATAAGACATTATCGTATAAAAAAACATCTATGGCTGGGCCTGGTGGCTCACGCCTGTAATCCCATCACTTTGGGAGGCTGAGGCAGGCAGATCACAAGGTCAGGAGTTCTAGACCAGCCTGACCAACATGGTGAAACTCTGTCTGTACTAAAAATACAAAAACTATCCAGGTGTGGTGGCAGGTACCTGTAATCCCAGCTATTCGGGAGGCTGAGGCAGGAGGATTGTTTAAACCCAGGAGGAAGAGGTTGCAGTGAGCAAAGATCATGCCACTGTACTCCAGCCTGGGTGACAAAGCAAGACTCCATCTCAGAAAAAAAAAAGAAAAAATTTATCTATAATGAGAGTCCCAAAGGAGAAAAGGGACTGCAAAAATATTTGAAGAAATAATGGCCAAAAACTTCCCAAACCTGATGAAGAGCATTACAGAAACAACAAGCTCAACTAACCTCAAGTAAAATTTAAAAGACATTCACACCCACATACATTATACCGTAGTCAAACTATAGAAAGACAAAGGGAAATCTCTAAAGCAGCAAGAGAAAAAATGAATCATCATGTACAGCAGGGAGCAATCCACTGTTCTATAAGGGGCAAATAGTAAATATTTGGCCAGGCGCAGTGGCTCACACCTGTAATCCCAGCACTTTGAGGCCGAGGAGGGCAGACCACTTGAGGCCAGAAGTCTGTGACCAGCCTGGCCAACATGGCGAAACCCTGTCTCTACCAAAAAATATAAAAATTAGCCGGGTGTGGTGGCACACACCTGTAGTCACAGCTACTTGGGAGGCTGAGGCAGGAGAATCGCTTAAACTTAGGAGGTGGAGGTGGTAGTAAGCCAAGATCATGCCACTGCACTCCATCATCCTGGGCAATACAGTAAGACTCTATCTCAAAATAAATAAATAAATAAATAAAAATTTGAAAAGCATCCTTACCACACAGCTAGTATGACAGTAAGAAAGCAGGCAGTATTCCAAATGTGGCCCATGGGCCATAGTATGTAGACTCCTGACCTGACGTAAGGAGATTAATAAGACTTTTTGTCATGGGCTGTCTTCCCATCAGATACAATGCATGCCAGAGGCAACATAATGATATAGTTAAAATATACCATTGCTGGAAAAATCTGTCACAAAACCAGAATGCACACCAAATGTTTTGAAAGCCAAATTTTAAGACAAAGACACACATGAATGGTTATCTTAAATTGTCATGTTAACTCTTTTTATATTGTTGATTAGAAAAGCTAGAAATCAGCATTGCTCTTTTTTTAAGCATTCACTTGTTTAGTAAAATGAAAGTTTGCTACAGGTTACAACACACAATACTAGAAGAGAAGTAAATGTCAAGCAAAGCTCATTTCATTTGTTTGGTTAATGCTCATTACAGCCTAATCATCAACAATGCAAGAAAAAGCAAAAATTTAACAAATAGTGATGATACAGATACTTTGGGTGAATGATACTTATCTGATTTTAGTAATTATAAGGCACATAAGCAGGCCAAGTTCTGGGTACTTTGGTCATCACACCATTAGAAAACTATCAAAACCATAAAGGTGATCCTAGAACATCTTGTCATTAAAGCAAGCATGACCATCTCCACGCAACTGTAGTTAGAATACTTTACTTCCTTTTCACGTGAACAGCAAAGTATCCAACAAAGTCCTTGTGTATTGTGACAAAAATGCCTCACAAACAGTCCTATCCCAGCCCAGCCACTCCAGTCCCTGAAAGAAAACAATGATTAAGGGAAGGACATAGGAGCACTAGACAGCAAAGCAAGTTAAGGAACTAACAAGAGAGACATCATGGAGGATGGACGGATGGATGGATGGACGAACAGGCACATATGTTGAGAGTCAGGAAGAAGGGATAGAAAAATTGAATGTGGCAGGAAAGTATTTAAAGAGCATTCATAAATTATCAGATCACCACATGAAAAGGACAGCACAGTTGAGAATACTGAGTCCTTGAATCTCCAGCAGGATTTCGGGAAAATCAACTTGAAAAAGAAAATCTGCAAATTTTAAGAAATAAAATTCTTTACTTATAGGAACTAACATTAACGAACATATATTCATTCAACTGACATTCAATGAACATTTATGTTCACTGAAATAAGTGATCAATTTAAATATATCTAAAGGCATTTAGTTTAATCAGATCATGACAAAAGGAGGTCAGGCCCTCTAAGAGGATGCATGTTTTGACTACAGGGTAGAACGTTAGGCAGGGATATAAGACAAGAGAGGAATCTTATGTACAAACAACAACAACAATAACTGCTACTACTACTAGAAAGTAAGGCCACTGCGTGAAGCCCATTCTATAAATTTGTTCCAATGTATTAGGAGTGGAGACCTTTCTGACAATATTTAATAGACAAACTAAAGTTATAATCTAGGCCTTGGCTACTTAAGAAAGACAACAAATCACAAGGAGAAAATGACTTTGTTAACTCAGAAGTAATTGCTCTACACTGCTCATACTGATCATACACAATCTATATGATCCTGGTTGGTTTCAGAATGCAGAGTTAGTCCAATGAGACAATATATTGAAACATAAGTATTATCTTGTCTTTTCAAATCACAATCTCAAGAATGACTTTTGCCTTGATGGAAACAAGAAAGAAGACTGTGCATTGGTTACAGTAAGGGAAAAAAACACATGAACCATCAGCTTAATATGCAGCTCCGGCTGCAAAGAAATAAACTCTAATTTTGTCCCTCCCTTATCAAACAACCCAACATAATCGTCCCTGTCCAACCAAAAAGGGCACAATGTGGAAGGGATGTACCAGAGAAAATCCTTTCCCCCAACCCCAATAAGAATGAACAAGTCTCCTCAGTCAAAAACAGGTAGAGTTAGCACACTGTGATGTGAAGACTGGAGAAACAGCAAAGCAGAAGAGA